ATTACTTAATGATTTTAGATGGATTAATAATTGGCTACATTTTCTTTTACCTTCCTGGCTTCTGCTGTCCCACTTTTTTGTATTGGAAGTGTATGTCTTTACTTTCTTAATTTTTAACTTACTCTACAAACCTGTGAATTTACTCTGGATCATGGAGAATTACCTGTAGGGTTGACATAACCATCTATCCCTTCATTTAATTATTATTTGTTCTTTGTTTTATAGGGCCCAAAACTGATTTCAAAAACTCGTACTGCTTTGGGAGTTTAAATTACTTCAGGTAACAAAAATTTCACATAAGTCTAAATATTATGCTGAGTCTCTTCAAATATCACTCTATACTAAGGTTGATCGACTAAGAAGTAACTTTAATTTTCTTAAAAATACAATGAAATGCCATTAAAACACACTGGAACAAAATTATACCTAAAATATTGTTAATGGCTCAACAAATGTACAGTTCTTTTAGTTTTCTTCAAAGTCTTCAGAAAATACCATTGGAAATCCTCACCATGTATCTGCATTTTCCTGATATAAAATAATATACTCTGTTGCCTTCTGTATCGATTCACTTAATTAGCACTTAATATCATTTTTTGTCTATATTGCAGAGGGAAGAGGAGAGAGTCTCTGCAGTTTGGTGTGAACTCTTGTTTAATTCCAAATAGTAATACTTTGAATTAATGAAATGATGAAGATTTTTATGTGAGATTTCCCCTGTGATAGAAATAAAATGTCTCCAAAATGTTTCTTGTCTGGTATTTATAAAACCTTATAGAAAATTTCTCTAGTTTCATTTACTGTTATCTGAAGCAGATTCTGTTCAAAAAGCATTGAGTGCTGTCTGAGTAGTGTGCTGGCTGAGTGCCGAGTACTGTCTGAGTTCTAAGTACTGCCTCTGGTACTGTCTGCGTGCTGAGTACTACCTGTTTCACTGTTGGAGTGTTGTCTGAGTACTGTCTCTGGTAACAGGATAAAGCCGTGTCAGGCTGGGTTTATAATGCTGAAGGCTAGGCTGAAGGCTAGGCTGCATGGTGACCTGAGAACATGTCCCCAAGTTAAGCACTGCTGAGCACTTCCAGAGCACATTGTTCCTTAAGAGACCAGCTATGTGTTCTAACAGATGATCTGGAAATAAAAAGAGAAATTATGCTTTTATAGAATCCATGAAAATTTAACATCAGTTTTTCCCCTCAATTTTAATCAATTCTCTATTCACAGACATGTTAACACACATCAATTGTGCTGAAGTTGTTTTTATGAAATGCAATTAATATTTTTATCAGTTATTCTTTGTATCGCATAAGGGTCTCCTGACACTCATGGGTTAGGAGGTCTGGTTCTGGGTGTAGTCATTGTCCCCAGTTGCTTCAGTACAGAAGGAAGCTAAATAGCAAGGCCACGGGACTGTGACTGCAAGAGAGGTAGCGAATGTAGGAGGGAATCAAAGAACTCTAAGACCATTCTGACTGGGGAAAGTACCAGTCATTGAGGGAGTCTTAGAAGGGTGGGGGTACAAATCAGTGGGAGTAAGGAGGAGGCCATTCCAGGAAAGCGGAAACCATGGCCCAAGGGGTAGGGTTTGCAAAGCATGATGAATGGTTGTAGGTGAGCACAGAGTGGGCAGGAAAAGAATGTAGACCTGGAACACCAGGCAGGGTACAGAAATGGTGTCAGTAAATGGTGACAAAAAGACCAGACCACCAG